CTCCTTTGGATATGATCGTTGAAGCTCTATTCCATCCATCCTCCAACTACGTTGTTTGTCTACAATACAAAGGAATACACAAATACTAGACAAACAATATTAGTGGTAAATTGTTTGTAAATCATCATCAAAATAAGAAGGCCAACAATCTCCCCCTTTTTGATGATGACAAACAATTTACAAAAAGGATATATGCATGAAAAAAAATGAATATATAAATTACAATTCACATGCATATAAACAAGAAGGAATATACATATACTCATAATATTTCTCCCCCTTTGACAACATCAAAAAGGGGACAAATGAATTAAGAGAGCGAAAGCTCCCCCTATCAATAAGCATAGGTGAGTATAACATATAGAAAGATATAGGGACTGCTCCCCCTATCAAAATGCCTCATGAATATATGAAATAAAGATCATGGCAAACATATGTGAGCAAGCATAGATGGAAAATATGCTAAACACAACTCACATACATAAATATAATTGAGAACATATATAAATATATCAAAGTAAAAATAGTGTCTCATATCAACGAACATAAAAACCATTTGGAAAGGTAGATTTATGAAATCAAAAGAAGAGAAACATGAGAATCATGTAAAAAGTTTTCAAATGAAAACAAATCAACTAAGAGAAATCATAAATCAAAGTTTAAATCCAAAAGCGTAAGATCAAATCATCATTGATTCAAAAAAAATCAAGAGAGGCAACTATATCTAGCTATTGAGCTAGTATTAACCCATATAAATATTTTAGCACCCGGTAAACAAGATTTGGGAATAAACACCCAATAAATACGGAGGGTTATATAAGTACAAACCTCTCATAAGAAAAAAAATTAATAATCATGAAAACAAAAGAATTTGATCAAAGAAAATTTGTTTTCATAAAAAGTTTCAAAACAAAATTTTCAAAACCAAGAAAAAGAAAGATAAAAACATTAAAATTCTTGGTTTAAAAAATCAAATTTGTTTTGGTACCCAAGAACTCTTGGTACCAAAAGATTTAGGGACATGACCCCTATCATTTAAGCTCAAAGCCCTAGGGTTATGAACCCTCTTAGGCATATGTGGTGCACTAATACGGTCAAAGCAATAATCGCTCAAATGACCCTTCCGATTGCAATATGTGCAATGAAAGAGATCCATTTGTTTTTGTGGACCATTTGCTCGTGCACGGGAATCATTTGCAAATAAAGATTTTCTTTTAAAATTATTTTACAAATGAGAAACATTCTTAAACAATGGTCTATTTGGAACATATTACAATTTAGAAGCTTTTTGTATATCAAAACAAAATTTAGCAAGATGTCCAAACCTACCACAAACATCACATTTAAACTTTTGTGGTCTTTTAAAATCATTTGGCAAAAGTGAAGTCTTTTTCAAATCATAGCAAAATTTTGCCAAATGGCCAAAACGACCACAATGATCACACTTGAACACACTAGCATGCTTATGATGAACTTTGTGAAAATGAGCATGTGAATGTATAAGTGTACAAGATGAAGAAGCTACATGAGATGCACAAGGAGCATTAGAATTCTTAAGTTTGTGTGCATCATAACAAAACTTAGCTAAATGACCTTGACGGCCGCAAATAGAACACTTATAAGTTTTGCTATACATGTGTGCATAATGAGTGGATGATCTTGATTTAGCACACATATCCATAAGCTTCTTATGATTATTAATGCATATTCTCAAAGTTGAATCTAAAGATGAAATACTATTTTTCATAAGATTCAAATCTTCATTTTTAGGCACATATGCATTTTTAGAAGTAGAACATAAATAGTCATTTATAAAAGAAGCTGTATTATTTTGTATGTTCTTTACTTCTAACATGGCATTATCTCTTTCATGAGTTAAACTAGCAACGTTTGAAGTTAAAGAAACATGATCCAATTTTAATTTTTCATTGTTTTCTTTAAGGATCACATTTTCATTAGAAATAGTTTCAAACTTAGATGCTAACAACTCATGATCGGATTTCAAAATTTCATGCTTGCTTTGTAAATTAATGAAATCATTTTGCAATTTGTTAAAGGCATGTAATAATTTTTCACTAGCACAAGCAAGTTCATCATTAGGTAAATCATTTATGGTTTCGAACTCGCAAACCTCACTAG